CAGTGGACCAGTCATGGAACAGCTTGAAATCAGTTAATTATCATTCAAATTAGGTAATTAATATTCATAGATTTTGACCCAAAACTAATCAAATCTGCGCACTAGTTCAGAGCATCCATGTGCCAAGTTTCATCAAAATCCAATGAGTGGTTCTTCAGATATCTGTGGAACAATCTTGGAACAGCTAAAAATCAGCTAATTATCATGCAAATTAGGTAATTAATATTTATAGATTTTTACCAAAACCTAATCAGCTCTGCGCATTATCCCAGAGCATCTATGTACCAAGTTTCACCAAAATTTGATTAGTGGTTCTTGAGATAACAGTGGAACAAAAAAAGTGACATACATACATACATACATACAGACAGGGTAAATGCAAAGACTCCCTTTTGTGCTTCGCACACGGGAGTCAAAAATAAAGAAAAACTAAAATAAGTTTTAAATAATAAAGATGAAAAAACATTAATACAAATAGCAAAAAATAGAGAACTGTTTTAAAACAAGGGAGGAAAAACTGAAAACAATATAGTCAGCTATCTCAGGATAAGTTCATGTACATGCATTAGTAAATCAAATATTCACTAACACAAATATGGAAAACAATCCAATTTACTTTACCATCATAATAGGGCTACAAACGCAATAACGATAATTATTATTATATGAAAGGTCTGTCGAGTATATACATTTTGAAAGGGTACAGTTTCAGAATGCACTAGCACATCCACAGATGGCTGTGGACTTCAACTTTTACCAACCAATATCTGTTATACAAACCAAACAGGATTGTGGGTAATTACAGGCACTGTGCATCATTGCTACAATTACACGATATGACAATTGTGTAATAATACTACTGACAGAAATATTGATATACGTTTGTTGTAGATAAAACATGTTTTAAATAAACCTTTCACTCTCAGGATATCACGTTATTTTTCATTTTTGATGCTTTGATTTCAACAAAACGTTTGTGGTTCAGGATATATTCTAGAAGCTTGGAATGGCAACAGAGATTCAGCTTGTCCAGCTTTTTTCACAATAAGAATGCCATTATTAAAGCTCCATTTCTCCAATGGTATCTTCCCATCCACATATTCCATGGATGAAAATGCAACACTTTCATTTGTCAAGAGTTGGCGTTCTGGCAACCCTATCTGAAAGCTGCATAGTTTTCCTCACCCTGGGCTTGTGGCTGTTTCCTTCTTGGCTGTTTCGTTTGCGAAGCTGGTAATGTTGAAGAAAATTTGCTTCTCATAGCTTGCAGTGTCTGACCAACTTCCTTGGAATGTTTCTCTAACGTTATTCTAATATTGGGTTCTATGGAGGAACGAGTCACTCAAAAAAAAATATTCAGAAGGGGGGTGCAACTCATTTGTTTCCATTAATTATTACTTTTTCCACCTGCCTGCCCGCAGGGGATAAATAATGACAGGTCCCTTAGTAATACGATAATAATAACATCATAGCAATGTCAAAATTGTAATGAAAAGCAAAATGAAAAGCATGATCATTAAATCACTGACAAAGTTGATTGAAAATAACAGTGTTTGAAATTTGCAAAATAGTTTACCAGACAACAGGGCAGGTAACTTTAAAAACTTTCCTGCCCTGCTAAAAAAATAACCAGCCCTGTTTATGTTTTCAATATTTTATTTACTTTCAATTGTTTCACTATATTTCATTCAATCAGTGTCATTGCATTTCATTCAAGTAAAAAATATCTGAATCATAATGAACTTGCATATTGTGAGAGTTCACTGAAATGATGCATAATGTGAGAGTTCGCTAAATCGCGCATCGTTCATGGATTGTTGTTATTTTGCATGTGTCAAAATGGTTGTATCAGACCTCTAGGTACATAATTTTGACAACAATCATACATCACTAGACATTTTGTAATTTTTGTAGAAATTAATATTTATTTTCTCAAAAATACCACAGGGCTAGTAACTTGAAATTTTTACCAGTCCGACTGAATAATTACCCTCGCTGTGGACTGAAAATAAAAATAGAAAAACTTTTGTAACTGTTTATCACTTTTTATAGAGGAAGGGTTATATTTTTGGTGTGCTGGCTAAAAAACATCACAGTGGATTTAGTCTAAATACGCGTTGCTTTATGAGTAAGCAATGACAGTCGTGATACACAAATTATATTCCACATGCAATTAACTTTATAATAGTATACAAATTATCAGCTTGTCACAAAATTTAACTTATTTTCACCATTATCAAATAGTTTTGGAAGTACATACATGTGTAATTTCTTTTTTTTTACCTCAGGTCAAGCTGGTTATTAACCAATCAGAATACTGGGTGGTGCCAGCAAAACTTATTCAGGCATTTCAGAATAGCCTGCTTCCTCGATGAGATTTATCAATATTGCAGTAAATTGAACTATAATTTTGGATTAAAATGTTCTGAATATAACTCCTAAATTAAAATACTTATGGCACATTTCTCGAACTCTAATCTGCACTAGATATGTTTGGCAACCAAAAGATTGACCACCTCATTGCCACATGATAGTCTTGTTTATTTTAGATGTTATTTTTCTTCTGTAATTTTCAGTTCCCATGTTATTCAACTATTTTAATTCTGTTTTTCATATTCGCTCTATTAGTAGCACATGCACTTACATAAAATACATAAATGTTTTTATGGTCAAAGTAAGTAATATTTAAATGTGATTTGGGGTTTATAATTGTTTGGAGATCCACTTCTAATAGAGCAAATACAGTGTTTCTAAATAAAATTATTAGCCAAATAAGTCAAACGGTTTAATCTGATAAGCGTCCTCCTGCCCATTGGTTAACTCTCAGAAAAATGTCAGTATCTTGTGGATCAGTGGATGCAAGATGCCAGTGACACTGATAAGCCGTAAATACATGTGTGATTATATATGCAAATAGGTAATTCACACATTACAATTTTAACATAACACTCAAGAGTCAAGCCAAGATTCATGTTTGTCAACAATACATATATTGACTAATAACATTTTATTCATTCATTTTCCAAATAATTCTATACATTATGAACTAATTATTAGAAATTTACTTTTTACATTAATCAATGTAATAAATGGCAATCCTCATTATTGGCCATGAACAATTCTTACACTATTTCTAAAGTTTCAATTTTGAAGAAGTCACTGCAAGTTTTTCTTTCTTTTTTTTCTTTGCTTTGATCACTTTTATTTCTGAACTGACTTCATCTTGGAGCTTGGTGAAGAATGATTTGGAAGAAGAGTAAGCATTCTTGTCAATGTTACCATCATCCTAGATAAAATAAAATACAATACAGTAAACACCCAACTGCCAAGATATCAATCTACCAAACTTCATGCAACATACTGTTAACCGCTATAACTTTACAAGTCAGTGAAAGTTTTTGTCTTCATTAATGCCATCAAATATTAAATCACAAAAATTAAGTGGTATACAGTATTTCACTTGTATTCTTGATTGCTAGAATTTGATTTAATATTTCACTTTCCTAAAAAAATTCTCAAAATAAATATGTGATGTTAAAATTTATTAAAATCATCCCAAACACAAAATAGAACATATAACAAATGATAATAACTTACTTTAATAATGGTAGTTTTGCCGTCAGCTTTGCTTTGTTTTTCTAACTTCTGTAATGCTGCCTTCTTGCTGTATTTATTACCGATTCCAGGATTTTTCTTATCAACCATTTTGTTACGCTGTTTTCTCTCCTCTTGGCGTATATGCTGTGCCGCCTTCTTTTGTCTTCTTTCTCTTTTTTTGTCAGTGCATGTCTTCTCTGTATCACCTTTGATTTCTCCCACCTTAGTCTTTTCCTAGAAAGAACATGAAGGAAATGATATCCTGTATAATTATGCATGAATGGTATATTGAGTAATGTTAAGAGAGTAACACTTGTTACTGTAACACCTACCAGTACTATGTCTACATACTGACATATTCCTGTCTACCTACTGACATATTCCTATGTCTATCTACTGACATATTCCTATGTCTATCTACTGACAGATTTCTGTCTACCTACTGACATATTCCTGTCTACCTACTGACATATTCCTGTCTACCTACTGACATATTCCTGTCTATCTACTCACAGATTCATATGTCTACCTACTGACATATTCCTGTCTACCTACTGACATATTCCTGTCTACCTACTGACATATTCCTGTCTACCTACTACAATTCCTATGTCTACCTACT